CCTTGAACTTGGTTTGATCGTGACACGTGTTTAAAAATTTTCAATAAATGTGATAATTAACAAGATCATGACATAAAAAATTTTAATTAAATTTTGTCGTATATATCATGCAAATCTTATTTCTTTTTAAACTTATAGATTTGTATTTCTAAACTAGATTATTAAAATCAATATATATATATATCAAGATTGTTTTTCAATATAAATAATACATGTGTAATTTTTTTTTAATTTCAAATAGATTTAGGTTTACATACACAAATCATCATAGATTATAATATTTTGTATTTATATAATAAGCGTTTGTGTTCTCTTAATCTTCTAACCAAACAATTCTAAATTTCGATAATCTTTTCGACGAATTTTATTTCAATTTTTTCATTATAAAATAACCTCAATTATCCTCTTATTGGATATGTGAGATAGATTACGACGATCTAACTGTAGTATTTTTTTTCGCTTCCTGCAAATTGCAAGCTAAATTTTGTGCATCATTCGCTTCTTACAAAATTTGAGAATCAATTATGTGAAAAAAATCTTATTAAAATTTACATTTTTAGTTTGCAACTAAAAAAATGAGTAATTCGTCAAATTTTTGGAAAATTATTTATACATGTAGATATATAAAAAATACCTAATTCATTAGGAATAGAAAAGAACAAATTATTTAAAAATATTTGACAAATTTAAATTGAAAAAATAATATACTCAAAAGAGTCAAAACAACTTAATAACGGTGAGACTTCTCTATTAGTGGTCTTGCACTTTTCCGTTTTTTTTTTGCAGATTAGAAAAATTTATAAAACTAAAAAGTTCAAATAGGAAAATGAGTAATTAATTCAAATTTTTATAAAAGAAAAAAAGTAGTGAAGTAATAAAAACTAAATTACTTCATAGTTGAATAGAAAAAAACTAATTACGTGATAAAATTTAAGAATTATTTGGAAATCAAATAAGAAAAACAACCATGATAAAAAAAGTAATTCTTAATTTATTTTATATCAATATTTTCGGTTTTATTTCATTTATTTCCATGGGTGATTTATTCATTTTTAATCTTTTTGAATTTGATTTTTTCACGGCTTACAAAATATTTTATCATAGGTTAAAAAATAGTTTGTCTCAAACCCGCATATATGCGGGTCCTTCACCTATTTTATAATAAAACATAAAACCTTATAAATCCCTGAAACATTCCAGAATATTTTAAAAGATTTTCATTAAAATATAAATCTAAATAATTAAATCTAAATAATATCTCGTTGCATCAGGTCTCGCTAGCCAAGATAGATTCGAGGACGAATCTTGTATTTATGCTGCATCATGTCCCCCTAGCCAAGAAAGATTCGCCCTCGAATCTTCAAGAGGATTTTCACCATACAAGACTTCTTGAAAATATCTTGAAATCCATTCTTCTGATAAAACCCTAATTTTGCACGAACCGGATTATACACGGATTTTTCAAAACCCTGAATCTGCACGAAATTCGCACGACCCAAATTCTTCACAAAATCTGCACGAAATTGGTTAAACCCGAGTTTCGAGTTTAATAAAACCTCTTTAGAAAATTTTCGATTAATTTAATTTACAAATAACTGAATAAAATGGGAAGTCTACGAAAGCTATTTATAATAAAGCATAAAACCCTAAAAATCCTTGGAACATTCCAGAATATTCTA